GGGTTATACTATTAAACTTGCTCTTACACCACAAAACACAAGGAGCAGTAAATCGTTGTGTTTCTCATTATTAGTGCCCCTTTTTTTTTTCCTCCTTTCTCCTTTCTCCAAATCGATCTCTCGGTCGATGTATCGTGCGCTGGTTGGTACGTGCTGGTGATGATCGATAAAATGTGCTTCCACGAAGAGTAATTTTTACGGTGATCTCTCTCTGTTAGTAGTAATTAAACTGTCGGTAATAATTTTTGCTTCAAGCTAGTCGTAGTGCGGTAGTAGCTGGGTTGCTCTTGCGTCGGTTACGTTACTATCAGGATTTTTTTTTTTTTACTTTGTTGACCTGTATTCATGGTTGATTAGGAGGTGAAAATTACCATGTCGAGGCGTTTCAGAGGGTGGCAAACAGAGACTGTTGCAAGTGGTTATCAACAGATCACACGCGTGATAGGTTGCGAGCTTTTGAGCATTGAGAGAGCCGCACGAGGGCTCCAGCTTTGGATAAATTGTTTGGCAAAAACGTAGTGAAAAAATAATTGTAACTTTTTAATTACACTAAAATTTTTACTTTTTTTTAATATATTGACGTGCCATACTTTTGTGAATTTGCGGAGTTATTTTTTTAATTACATAAAAAACGTACACACATAATTATCATTGGATGCATCCCTTGAACACACGCTCAAGAGACCGAGGCCCAACAATATGACTAAAATGCAAACCTTACTAAACTCCTACTAAAAATAAATCTGTATTTGCGTAAGTATTGGTTTCAAGATTTAACGCTAATGGATAGAGCCACGTACCATAACTCAACGCAGTGCTTCCAAAAACAACAGCAATTAGGGAACAGGAGGTTGACTCCTTAGGAAATGGGCAAATGGGTGCATTACATCTTACAAAAGATGGTGAAAGTCTTTCAACTTTGCAGAGTCACTTCTGCACTTGCCGACAGTACTTTCTTTTTTTGTCAAATTAAAGCTATACGAAGCTGTGGTTTGCTGAAAAGAAACTCGAAAGTTCTGAGTTAACCAGAGACCGAAATGAATAGCTAAACAAAGGCAGAATGCCACTTACAAAGAATAATCCTCACAAAAAGGCAGGTGCTTAATGGGGTCATTGCCTGATATGCTCTGGTTAGCACGGCAAGCAGCATTTCCTTGAGCTTTCACAAAAAGAAGGCAGAAAGAAAAGGCAATATTTTGACCCCTTTGATCAGTTAAGTGCTGTTTGTTCGCCACTAAAAGATTTAATCAGCATATTTTTGTATTCTCGCACGCCCTAAGAATTACTTTGTTGGAGAATTTAAGGTTAGGGGACACCCGTGGTTCTACCATGTCCACAAAAATGAGAACAAAAAAGGCAAAAGAGGGGAGGAAAAATCACTATCCTTAATTATATTGGTTATCATCCGATGAAAAGACTTCCTTAAGTAAAAGGAAATATCATTTTCTTAATGGCTTAATGCTAAGTGGTCATAGCACAGTAAACTATTACTTCCTCTGTCCCACAGAAAACAAACATAGTACAAGATGTGATACATCATGATATTACGAACCTAAATAGTCATTTGTCCAAATTAATATTAGTAAATGCATCACGCATGTTCTAGATTTGTTTTTATGGGACGGATGAATTGAAAATTTCAGAATCCCTCAAGTTTGATCAGCGTGTATTCCTTTCCACTGTCATGAATCTGAAAGTTAAAAAAGAAAACATGTACACTCACACGCACGCCTGCTTGCACTTACATGCATTGACAAAACAAAAGTAACCCAAAGAAAAAAAACAAGTGAAGAATTTTCAAGCCTTTGGCTTGACAATTTGGACTCCCAATAACTAACCGGGTCGGTTCATGGACGGCCATGAAAGGTCGATGTTGTCGAGATCTTCTTCCATCAGAGCTCCCACTTGCTGTTGTGGCTGCATCATTTTTCCTGTTCCTCCATCTTTGATTCGCGAGCAACAAAAACAACCCAGTATGCGCTGCTGCTGCTGCTGTTAGTGGCGTGGGAATCCTGCATTTTTGACAAGTGAACAGTTGAGAGCTCAGGATTGATTTGATGCCTGCCCAGTGGGGTGCAAGCATTGGTGAAGAAATCCATTGACGCTTCAAATCCAACTCACTCACTCACTCACGCTGCGTGTGCGTGCGTGCATGTTTGCAATGCCATCTGAAAACATTTCATGTGAAGCTGCAGAAAGGAACACGACTGAAACTCTGAAAACCAAATGTCTGAACTTACAACAAATACCCAGTCTATTAGTATTTGACAACTTTCTTGTTCCGATCTCATCTTTGTTCTAAACGAGATATTATCAATTTGCATGTGTGATGGGTCAGCATCATGTGGCCGATGAAAACTATTTGTTTGTAATCTGTACTCCCCTTATCTTAATGGAATTTGGTTGGCCCCGGCTAAAAAAAAGGAAGGACAGTGAGTTGTATTATTGTTGTACTAGCTTGTACTAACATAATCGTATTATTGTAGTACTAGCTTTGTACTAACAGAATCTCTACACGAGCGTATGTTTTGATCACATAAAAAGAAAGACCGATTTAAGCAGTTTTGATTTTGCATCAGGTCGAATATATTCAACCTTTTTGCGGATAATAAGTACTAGATTCTGGTTGTGTGCAGTAGAATATGTTGAGCCTTTCTCCAAGTGGTGGTGGTGGTGGTGGTGGTGGCAAGACCAACATTGCATGGCCAGAAGGAACACACGAAGGAGTTCCCTTCGCAAGAGGATCATTCATTCATTCACCCATTCATGAGAATTAAGAGAGGACCAGGCAAGCAGCATCTAGAGGAACTGCATTGTTTGCATGTGTGACCAGACAAAATATGAGGAAAAGTTAAGAGAAGATCACACAAGAACTCTCTCTCTCTGTATCAGACACTAGGGAGATGTCAAAGGAAAATGGCACATACACTTGCAGAATCTGTAGTAGAGTAGACACCAGAATCCAACAGAAAAGATAACTCTGTAAAAACGATATGTCCAGAGGCCTAATTTGCCCTAGCATGCTGTCACCAACAACAGTCCTGTCCACTTAATCAATCGCATAACCCATGGATGCCCTGATTACGGTGGTCATCAGTCTTATTACTACTCCTGCATTAGCATATTCTGTTTGATTTTTTTTTTTGCAGGGTTTAAAGTTTCGGTTTGGATGCAATCGGTCTCCCATTTTCTGCTCTAGCAGTGGCAGCAGCATGATAAGAGAGGGGTGGCCATCGGATCGATCCATGTGTAATATTGCCTGTACTGGCCAGGGCCAACATGTCTTGTCGCTTACTGCTGATCGCTGGCAACGTTGTACTATGACATGACATTAGTTGCCAACTAGGACGATCTTCTTTTTTTTTTCTTCCCACGAAAACTACACGACAAAGAAGAGATACAGGCATGCAGGTGAATAAGATTAAAGGGTTAGCAGCTACTACTATATAGCTACTGATGATGATGACGATGATGATGATGATGGTGATGCACATCCTGACAGGAAGAGAAGAAGAATTGGGTCGTGTTGTGGTGGATGCGGTGGTAGTGGCCGTGGATCGAGCGAGATCGACGTAGTACGATGGAGGGGAGGAAGGGTATCAGCGGCGGAGGCGGGTGGGAGGTCGGCCACCCTCCCGGCAAGGAAGGCGACGTCGTCTCTCCGCCTCCACCGAGGGCCACCGGCCGCGTCGGCCGCCCTCGTCAGCACCTACGAGGCTCAACAATTCGACGTGCCATGGCAGCCAGGGCTTTTGTCCAGATTCCCACAATTACTTCTCCCTCATTTTCTAGGTGTATGTTTTTTTTAAACGGTTAAGCGGTGTGTTTTTAAAAAAAACTATATATGTAGAAAAGATGCTTTCAAAATCGTATTACTCTATTTTTTTAAAAAAAATACTATTACATAATTAATTATACGATAATCCATTTCATCATTTTGAGTGCTGTAGGTATAGGTTTCTAACCCATACCTCCTACCACAGGCTAGATGTGCCCTTGCCATGGGCACTTAGTGACAAAACCGAGAGCCACAATGCATGCCTTGATCACTATAGTGATTTTTTTTCATTTGGAAATGCTATACATCACTAAACAGATCTTGGGGGAAATCATTGAATTTCTGACCTATAGATCCGCGTCATGATTCATGATTCACGACCTATTTTTCTAGCTTCGGTGAGCTCCTAGAGTGGTTAGGTTTCAGGACAAAAAGTGGGAGGTGTTCCCCATTTTAGAGGGATGGATGTGACGGGGTTGCGAGGAGTCGGTGGCACCACCTCATCCATGGGAGAGGAGATCGGTGGGACGGGTTGATGATAGGGAGAGCTCGTAATTAAGTAGTAAGGAGGCAATGGACCATGGAGATTGTGATAAATCTAGCGACAGAAATCATCAGAGGCAGAGGAAGATAGTTGTACGGTGGGTCTCGATGACGCTGGAGGTTGTGATGAATCTAGCGACAGAAACCACCAAAGGCGTTGTGATAAATCTAGTGACATAAACCACCAGAGGCAGAGGAAGATAGCTATACGGAAGGTCTCGATAACGATGGAGATAAAGGGCAATAGGGCGGAGGTGTCGGGGTGACATTTATGCTCTAGTCCTACTTGACAATGGTGTCTTCTTTGACAATGAAGATGTGCTCTAGTCCTCCTTGACAACGGCAGAGGATAATGGTGTCTTCTCTGACAATGAAATGGATTCTAGTCCTCCTTGGCAATGAGGATAATGGTGTCTGCTCTGAAGATGAAGGTGCGCCCTAGGCAATGGCGTCCTCTCTAACGACGGAGGATGGTGGCGGCACCACCAAATTAGGATTTGGAGCGACAGCCAAGTATAGTAAATGGGCCGGGGAAGTAGTGGCTCTATGGTGGCCGCGGCATGATTAACGGCTTAACGCCACATGGACAGTAGACCGATGTCAGCAAGGCCAAGATTAGGTTTATAAAAGGCCAGCAAGGCTAAGATTAGGCTTATCAAGGCCGCGAGAAATCTAGCCGTTCAAAAAATGACTACATTAGTACATTTAACAAAATGTCAGATGACGGATCAATAAACGAACACTTTTTTTTCAGCCAATGCAAAACTTATACATAAACCAATAAAATACGCGTCTAGTGCATCGTTATCGACATCTGGTAATGGTGGTGGTTGTTGTTACCTAAAAAAAGATTAAGACAAACTGGGAAATAGTGGCGATAATGTTTGACGATGTTGCCCGTCCATAGATTGGGCAAGTGTATGTGTGTTCGTCGATGCGCCCACTCAAAGCCTGTTACTACAATCTCTTATGGTCAGCAGCATTCAGCGACGGGTGAGGCGAGTCCAGCGTTCCAAGCTCGGCACAGAAAATTTACGCCCGGTGGCAGCCGAGATGTGTTCTGTGGTTGGATGATCTGGAGGTGCAGAGCAGGAGGGGCTCACTTCGTCTTCTTGTCCTCCGTGCTCGTCTCGGCCTCCGCCTCAGCCCCGGCTTGCTGGGATGCAGCTGCTAGATCGCTCCCTTCCAATGTCTGGGGAGCTTGTGGCTCGTCTTCCCCACCGAAGCCGTACTCGTTGACACGCTTCTTGTCAACTGGGTACACCCATCTCTGGTAGAGGTATATCAAGAAGATAACATCTGCACATGGCAATCAGAGTAGTTGGTCAAGAACCTATAATCGAAGGCACGAGAATGGTATGGCCAAATACTCTAGTAAACAGTGGTAGTTACCATCTCTGAAAACTGAGAGACGATGCAGCATCGGCATTTTGATCACAAATGCGAAAAGGTCATCAATTATGGTGTTGAGGAACTTGTAGGTCATTTGCCTCCATGGCATATGAGCAACAGACTTCAGCTTGTAGTTGATGAATAGTTGTGGGCACATCATGATGAAACCTGAAGAGTGCAAAGACATGCATTAAAATCCATTGCTAATTTGTCTAGTAGATCACAGAGAGAACTAGAAAGTAATTACTTACCAAACATGTACACACAACTTGTGAGAGAAGAGAGTATCCATGAGTACCAGCTCTTGTGTTTCTCATACTTAAGGGAATAGATGGAGAAACAGAACACAAGGAAGAGAAGTACATATGTAAGATACTTCATTGCAATTGCGTCATACTCCTTTGTCTTATTCTGTGCATATGATTCACGGTCCCGGAACCTCAACATGGGAATCTTTCCACTTCTATCGATCTGAACAGGAGTGAAGAGTTGTGACAAATTGATCAAAGAAAACATCAGAACTGATGCAAAGATTTCTACATCATTGAGCTCAAAAGATGGATGCAATCACGCTATATAGACAAACACAATTATGTATGACGAAAAAATATCTTGCCATAGACTATACCTAGTACCAAATATTAATGGTTTGACGTAACAAGAAAAGCCATAAAAATAAAGGGCTGATTTTGAGTTGACTAAAATCACCAATACATTGGACTTCATGAACAGAATTGGCAAATGCACAAAACAAAGTTAAATCCAATACTCAAAATGGAGTAATCAGTGAAAAATCCACAATAATCATGAGATCTTTGTTATCTCAATATACTAATGCTTTATCCATTAAAAATACCAGTGCTTTATTCAGTGCTATAAATACAACTTTTCAGGTGAAGATCACTAGATCTATCAGTTCCATTTATACATTTTATTACTTTCACTTTTATGCATAAGATGGGTTCCATTCATACAATTATATCTGACTGAAAAATATTAAGAATAACAGAACTAGGTGACAAAATGACCATAAAGGATAGAGAACCATATCTTAAATGGCCTACCTCAACATGCATTGCTTTTCCAATCTTCCAAAATTCAATGCAAACACCAATTCCAGAGCTACCAAGGATCATCCATGAAGTCTCATTGTCGAGCAGGTAGAGGAAAATAATCAGCTGGCATACAAAGTTCAGAACCACGGATTTTGCTGATAGACCTTCCATGGACTTGTTCTTATTCCAGAACTGAATATCTAAGCAATGGCACAAGAATATCATCAAATGTAAATGGAGTTACTTTTGGATAAAATACTTATGGTTACCATATACATGGTAATATGTAACTATGCAATGTACGTACCATTTTTGAAAGCCAGAAAATCAAACAGAGAGTGGAACAGAGAAACAATCATGGTCAATCCCAAAAAGTATGGATTTCCTTCAAGGAAAACTCTCTGCAAATAACAAAAAGGAGTCGAGGGTCAGCTCAATGAGTAATCAAAACCATCCAAGGAAGATGGAAACTTGTAACAATATCATTCAATCAACATACTAATAATATCACAAAAGTAACCATCTATAAGGCTCTAAAGAATATGAAATAGAGGTGCATATGTAGTATACTAGTGGAATCTCAGCAAGATAAAGCAGGTACTGTAAGGGTGGTCACAGAGCATAGAAGGTATATATAAACAAAATGTGTGTATGTGGATAGATACAAATTTATAATTGAGGATATCTGCATGTACCTTGAGCTCATCAGCCTCCCCTTCAAGCATACTTCCATAACTGCGATGAACTTGGAAGGACTGCTCCATCTGAAGAAATATTTGCCACTTGGTCATGCTAATAGGACCAACTTCAAGGTTCAAAGGCAGTTCCTCCACAGTCTCATTGAGTGCTATCAATTTATCTCTCAGTAGCCAAAACTCATTGAAGAATACAGTTGGGTAGTAGTTGTTTGAAGATGGATCAACATTCAAATCTGTATTTCTATTGTAAAGGAAACACAATTTTGACTGATTACGGATGCATTATACTCAAAATTATTTTGAACAAAGAAGAACATATAACACATTACTAATGGTAACAGTTAACAGGATACATGGAGCAACATTGGGTGGAACATTATTGTGTGGATACCTGCAAAATATGAAGTGGAAAAATATCATTCATAATTCATAGAAATGATGAACATCAACAAATAATTGAAGCCTAGAATTGGAAATGGAAGATATAGCATGTATAAAGCATGCCTATGCTGTAAAATATGAATCACCACACATGACGAAAATGCCAATGGGATTTGGTTGTTTCAAATTTACTACTCCCTCCATTCCAAAATATAGGGCACAACTACTTTTTAAAGTGGTTTCATAATATAGGGCGTGCATGCATGCATGTAACTAATTAGCACATTCTCTTCCCTAAACTATTATTATTTTAAATCCTATACTCACAAGATCTTTAATTCTATTGGTTGCATGTATTGTATTAATTGGGGTGATTCATGATAGCAATAAGATATTAATTATTTCTTGGTTTTTGGGTTAAGGGTGGTTGTGCCTTATATTTTGGAATGGAGGGAGTAATTATATTGCCTGACCCTTCTCCCTCATCCCAGAAAGAGACGATCAAATTGGATCGTAGAATATCTTAACTCTAAATTCAGCTAACAAATTATTTGTACCAACATTAAACATTGGAGTGCATATCACTGAACCAATCCAATTAACTGTATTTAAAAAATAGGAATGTCGTAGGTCTGATACAGTAGAACTTCATGCCATTTTGATCTTTGCGTACCGTGTGAAGTCGTCAACAAGATTTATTGTTACATTTGGTTTCCAATAAGAAATATATTCAACTGGGCCCTCATCTTTGTCTACAGAATCTTTATTCTCCTGCAGAAAATCAAGGTGTTGTTTTATTTGCTACATCTGCAGAAAATCAATTCCAAAATCTGCTCATCATATGTTAACAAAGAATGGGAATGAGAACCTTAGGTGGTGGTTGTTCATTAGATTCACTTGAATCTCCCAGCAAGCTCTTCTTTTTACCATCTTTTGGTTTTCGCAAGTAAGCCACAACAGCTAAACAGGTATTACGTGGTTAGGCAATGAGATTCATTAAATAAGAGATTGATTATATAAAAAGAGGTTTCTAAGATGGAAAAACAATACTTACGGTGTGTCCTGCCAAATGCAGAACTTTGCTCATATTCAGGATCAGTAGGATCCACAGGGTAACCCGAGCGGGCAAAATAAACATGAGCATACAAAGAACCATTGTTCTTGATAGCCTAGGCAGAAACATACCAATTTTCAAAATTATAGGTCAATAAAATGCAAGTCTACAAGATCACAACAGCTAGTATCATACCTCAGAAGGATAGTATGTCAATGTGTGCGTTCTCGTACTGGTAGGTCCCCAGACTGCATATGGTATGTTTGCCTCATGCCAGACGAGTGCATCCTCATTACTGAAGTCATTGAATTTCTCATTTTCTGATAAATACATCCACATATCCTACAGCAATACAGCCACCATACATTAAACCAACGGTAAGCAGAGGAAAAACAGTGAAACTATGAAAGAATTTAAAAGAAGTTCTGCCACATAAAACATAAAAATCCAACTGTCTCCACTCATTTGATTATTATCTTGAATTAATATGTTCCCCACAAAAAAAAATGCACAGTAGTTACTTCGATGAGCTATTCCTACAAGCCTACTGTAAACACCATAAAGTCAATTTTGATCTAAACCAAATGATTGGCCATGTACTGGATATATCACATGGCCAGCTTCATTCAGACCACACGTCCAAACTGTCTACCTCACTGATCTTAACAGTTGTTTTTTTTATCAATGCAATACTGTGACATTCCGAGCTATATGACAAACAAATCAAAAGTCAATATCCTACTAATACCATGGACAGCAAGAGAATTTAAACACTAAGCACCATAGACAGCAAGAGAATTAAACACCAAACATCTTCACGTGATCTACATACAGATCTAAATTGTGCAGCATCCAGTATATTGTACACTCAATATATACACTTTTTATATTGTATACTTCAATTCTTGAAAGAAAAAAAACTACGCTCAAAGGCTGAAACTGGCTTCCGATGTCAAACTTAATCCCGATCATAACATCTAACAAAAACAAAATCATGGCCTCCTTTTCCCAGCATATCAGTATCCAGCAATGCTAAAAAAACAAATACTTTTGCATGATCTAGTTGTTCGAAAGCATCCAGCACGCACCCAAACCCCAAAATTCTCGCATCAAACCGACTAAAGTTCAGTACCCGACTAAAGCAACAATTACCCCCCCCCCCCCCAAAAAAAAAAAGAAAAAAAAAGATCACAACAACCAAAATCTCCTAAAAACCCTAAAACCGAAAATTCCCCGCCCCTTCACTGCCATACAAACAAACAAACCCGCACATGAAACCTAAGACGCTTCTCCCCCACTAAAATCAATCTCGCGTATGCAGTGAGCGCGTTCTCACCAGCGGCTCTCCCTTCTGGAAGAGGTTGGACATGAGCATGCCCGGCTCCGCCGGGGGCCGCTTCGGGCCGAAGAACTTGGCGGCGAAGTACCAGAACACGGCCATCCGCACGATCCCGGCGATGGTCTGCCCCAGTCCGCCGCCCGCCTGCCTCGCCGCCTGCGCCCGGCCCTGCGGCTGCTGCCCCGCCGCCGCCCCAGCGGCCACCGCCGCCGGCTGCGACATCGCCGCCGGCGAGCTAGATCGAAACGAGGGAGGTGGAGAGAGGCGGCGCTAGATGCGAAGGCTTTTTTTTTTCACCTTTTTTTTTTTTGGTGCGAAGGCTTTGGGATTTAAGAGAGGTTGTTCTACGATTAAATTTATAGGGCTATTTTGCAGATAGGACCTGGGTTGTTACTGAATCATGTCAAGGTCCTGCACGTGGAGGGGGGATGGGTCTGTGTTGTTCTGGGAGATTCGGTTCGTTGGTTGGACCGAATTGTAATTTTGGAGAATTTTTGAGGGGGGGTGAGATGGTGATATGATAGCTGATGATGCCGATTCTGATGCTGAGATTTGCTAAAGGAAAAGCATAGTTGCCGCCCATGAGGAAGTAAAATGTTACACGCACCCCGGATCAAAGTGAGCTGGGAACCAACACTGAGCTGGCTAAAAGCCAGTTAAAATGGAGTAGTAAATCACAAATATGATGGTAAAAAAATCACCTTTTTTCTAGGTACAAACATACAGAAAAGAGAGTTTCGTAGAAACACGGTACAAATGTTAGCGCTTACAATGCGCACTCTGGGCCGTTTTGTATTGAAGCCAAAACGTGACCCTACCAAAATTTTGGTAACTTTAATAGTAACATACTAGTTTGTCTTGAATCCAAACAATCAGTAGTGCACACGCTCAATTTGGCTACATTCTAGATTCTTATTCACTCTCATACTAAATTTTGGCTTTATATTAATATTAAACCAAATATAGACTAGCTAACTTTGCCCTACCAAAAAAATTGGTAGTGCCAAAATTTATCTAGATTTTGACACTACCAATTAATTGGTAGGTAGAGAACCAAATAGGCCCACTATCGCTATGGGCATCTCTAATATTAAGAATAATTAACTGCAAATGGGAGCATACTTATCAAGTTTAGAGCTTAAACTTGGTTAGGTTGGTTCACCACAAGAAATCTTACCAGTTAAGCTAATCTCACTCCGAAAAAAAATATTTATGGTGCCTATCAATCATCTTTTAGAAACTACATAATATCAAATGTAAATAATGTGAGACGTATAACTACTTTTTAATATACTAACATGTGACAATGTTCAGCATAACAAGATCGAATAAAAAAATATACATAGAGAACTATATGCATGAAAATAAATGATAAAAGCTATGTGTCTCCATATCTATAATCTAGAACCATTATTTGTATATAGTTTACTTTTAGAATAACAGATTATGATCATCGTAAGTCCTGGTTGTTTAGCAGATGGTTTATGAACAGTGGAACTGGGATAAAGAAATGAGTGGACTTTTAAAATAAAATATAATAAATAAAACAGAGTGAACAGAATAGATAACTAGAATCAAATTTTACCCTTTAATAAGTACTCCATTCGTTCCAAAATATAACAACTTTTAGCTCTCAGGATTTGTCATAAAATATAACAATTTTTTCACAACATTCTCTTCCCAACCAATTACAATCTTCCACCATTCACTTTTTCCACCTATTTGCACTACTCATTCAATCACTACCCTCCACCACTCACTTATACCTACTTTCTTAATAATCGTGTCCACCTCTATAATTTCTTATATTTTGGGACGGATGAAGTAAGATTTTTTTCAATCCAATTTACTAAACGAACTATGAAATTTAGTACTCGTTCCCAAACATCTTAGTAGAATAAATTTGGATAGAATAATATTTATATTCGCTGTATTACGATGCATCACATTTATTTTCAAGTTGCTGTATTTTTTTAACGGAGAGAATAATAGTTTAAGAATGATATAGCGGTACTATACTATAATATCTCGAAGTAGCGGGTACACCTAACAGTTTCACTTTCTGAAGCGGGACCAACTAGATGTAAATCTGGAGAGAGAATTCTGAAGATGCAAAGATACTTTGGCGAGGGTCGGTGGGCCATCCGAAGTGATCGAGCAAACCCGATGACGTGGAATAAATATTGTGCTCTGTTACGTCAATTTCACCTTATCCCAGAAAGCTAAACAGATCCTAACAAATTATTCATCCACTCTTAACAATAGAATTGCTATACTGGGCTTGACGGATTGGATTGGGCCGTCAGAAAGGAAATCTATCTCTACGTCAAACTTTGTGGGCTTTCATCCTCACGCGATCGCTGGGCCGAACCCTTGAAAGCCACAATAGCGCTCGGCACTCGGTCCAGCCACACCGGTATACGATCGACAAGGTAAAGCTACTGTTTCCTTCACTGCCTTTTTTTTTTTTTCCTTTTTTGCACCTGCATTAGAGAAACAAACGGATGAGTGCCGAGTGCTGATGATAACACTGCTCGTTTCAGCGCTGAATCATAATACAAAACGATTTTGATTTTGTTTTTACCAAACAGAGCAAAATTATGTTAAATAGGATAATGGATTGTAACCCTGTTGTTACAATAACCTGAGACAAAAGATATGCCAACAAGGGGCTCCACATATTGATTTGCCGAAAGATAAGCGTGCAGACAAACGCAGCCACAAAGCTGATCGACTCCAGCACACGTAAAAACATACTACCTCCATTTTTCAATATACATGACACCGTTAATTTTTTATCATAGGTTTGATCATTCGTCTCATTCAATAAATTTACGTAATTATAATTTATTTTGTTGTTAGTTGTTTTACTACTCAAAATACTTTAAGCATGATTTATATGTTATATATTTACATTAAAAATTTTAATAAAACGAATGATTAAACGTATGTTAAAAATCAACCATGTCGTCTATTAAAAACGGAGGTTGTATGACATCTTTATTTTTGTAACAAAACTCTGATTTTTTAAGAAAATCTTAGGTAGATTTTACGTATTCTAGTATCACAATGATAAGAGATCCAGTCAAGAGAATAGATCCCAGAAAAAACCCTGTAGTCAAATTCTAAAAATTCAAAATCAGCTTTGGGTTATAAACCCACCAACAATTCGATCCGGGTTGAAATGATCTGTGATCTGTCTATGATTAGGTCACGCTTAGCTGGCAATGCCTATGTTAACAATGCACCCCTCTGCCTTTTCTTCCCCTTAGCTTATGAGCAAAGCAAGTATAATTATGTGCCATTGTGGGGGTGTGGGTTGGTTAAGCATAGCATCTTATCCTCCACAGTAGTTTAAATGCCTAGTAACAGGCCAGTTGTTTACCTGTCGACGCCTAGAATGCTTTGACTAGGATATCGTTTAGCTCGAGCTATATATTCAGTTAGATTGCACTTCATGCACTAGGAATAAATGTTTGCCCTTTTGGTGGGTTCTCCCCTATATCCTTTTGTTGATTTGCATGGATATTATGCTGAGCATCTAATGATTATTAAATCGATGGAAAAAAAGGTAATGATTAGGATAGTTAATTAGAGTGCAAATGATATATACTGTAGTAATAGACTTGTAGTAGCTCAAGTGTAGAAGTGTTTCAGGATGAGGCCTTTTTCAATCTGCAGTCTATTCTCCATTTTTTTAATGCATTGTTTCAGACACCTTTGATAAAAATAATGAATAGGTGAAATGGTTCTTTTGTCCTCCATTTATTTCTCCTCCTCGTGAATATATTAGATTTTCTTCCTATCATGACTAATGCGCCCTACGCCCAAATACTATGCTATTTGTTGAGCGTAACTACTCGTCGTGCAACGTTTCTGATGCCATTCACAATTCTGTAAATGGCGGCTTTGTAGCTTCTCAGGCACACATCCCAGGAGACCAAATCTAATCTTTTAGTCAAGTTAGTGGTATGTTTATAGCTGGATTTGTCTCATCTAGTATTTAAAGATTTGTTTTAAGATTCAAGTGTTTCTAAATAGACATGACAATCGACAAGGACACAGAAGCATATAGCTATTTATGCTTATTGCATTTTGTTTTTTATTTCTAGCAAGCTACCAAGTATTGGGGTATGCTGGGAAGATAGATCTTACACCATGGGCTGGCCATTCGACTATTGAAGGGGACCTTTGCTACAGCTGGTGCTAGAGCAAACTTCATAGGGGGAAAATATGAAGGTAAATCATATCATATGACAAATTATAATGTTTACATTGAAATATCCTAATTTTACATCACAATTTTTTTAAGTAAAAAATAAAAAAAATGCTTTATATATATCAAGCCACAACCATATCAAATGTATCAACTTGTTCCATCCATTTGGCTTTTATACTTGTATTCTTACTTCAAAATAATTCACCAATAGTGTGTTGTTGCTCTGGTGACGTATGCTGTGTTTAGTTCCTGAAATTGGGAATAAGTTTGGGGAAAGTTTGTAGTTTGAAAAAAAATTATGAGTTTATGTGTGTAGAAAAGTTTTGGATGTGATGTGATGTGATGGAAAGTTAGGAGTTGGGAGAAAGTTTGATGTGAACTAGACATGACTGTAGTGTAAAACCATCCGATTTAGGTTCTGAGGTGGGGAGAAAACGAACATTTTAATAGTCTAAAGTTCAATATATCCTAGTTTTATAACTAATGATCAATTTTAGGACATTTAAATAAAAAATGTCTAGAATGGACACTTTTTATATGTAAAAAAACACAAACGCAGGACATATAGTAGAGGTTGATCAATTTTAGGATACAGAGTAGATGTTAGACTCTTCGTTAGCACACACCGGAGTGAGTGTGGATTGAACCCTTATTGTCTCGTGAAACAAACCGTATGCAATTCCAGGGTACTCTAAGGATGTGTTCTTTTCGACACATAGTTTTGGCTGATTGGTTTTATAAAAAACGAGAAATATGATTAGCATTTGATTAATGATTATTAATTATTAAAACTTATAAAATAAATATATTTGATTTTTTAATGCAGGAGCATCATCTATATAGATATTTTTCATACGAAACGTATTATTTAACAATTTGAAAAATACAATGATAAAAAATGAGTACTGTAAAAACAGATCCTCGCCATATACAAGGCGAACGAAACCTGCAAACACAGCTTGTTATTAGCAACAGCTTTTCTGGGCGCACTCATTAAGCAAAGTGGCGATTATACTATAAAATTAAGCACGGGATCAGGATGGAATAAGTGGAGGAATCTTTGGCTGTTGGCGATTATC